TGAGTTTCTCCCAAACTTTCACAAGTGTTTTTATAACTTTATAGAAACAAGAAAAATGTTTTCTATTCCTTTTATTAAATAGTTTTTAAAAACAATGTTAAAAAGACAAATTTTTTTATTTCAATAACATGTATTGTTTATACAATTGCATGTTGAATTTGCTGCCCAAACCAAATAACCAGTGATATTATTGCTGTTTCAATTCATGTCATCACACAAATTTGAATATTGCCATGACTATTTAACTTTGGCAGGTGTATTTAGTTGCACGTCACGCAACTTCCTGAATTGAGAACAAGTAACGTGGATAATTCCGCATAATGTTCTAACTGACATAAAAATGACTAATAAATGCTAGTTTTATTGAGCAACCCTTATTTTCTTGATGAGAGTTCTAGGTATTCATATGAAAATGCGTTTAGAATTTTTCGAATGTTATATGTGTTCTTATTCAATTTTCATGAATTTAATAACTTAATGGCGTGTTGACTATTTTAGTTCGATGGCAGCAGTGTTTACAATTAAGGCAGCTCGTTTCGCATAGGTAATAGCATGGTTTAGAGTGCAATTTGGGAAAAACATGCACGAGTGAATTTTTTAAAGAGTACCGAAGTGCACAAAAGCTTCGCATAAGAAAATCTATTTAAAAAGTTACGCCAGACATTCGCTTTGCTTAGAATAATTTAACTTTCCGCCTTTAAAATGTATTTGCACTGTGTTTCCTATTTTTTTACTGGTATGATAATTTGCACTGCTCTTAACCAATCAGAGCTGAGAACCTTCTTGTACATTATAGATTGAAGAGTTACAGGTAAACTAATTTTGACAGAGCATACATACGCTGTGTATAGGATTGTTAACAACGTTCACAAAATTTCCAGTTTGTTAGAAGCAGGTAAAACTATCTCTTTATGATACTTATTGTATATGATATTTTGCCATTTCAGATATTTTGAAATAAAAAATATAAGCCTTTTTAATAAAATTGAGATCGAAAAGTTTTTTGATGATGTTCATACATGGTGTATTACGAAACGAAGCGTAATAAAAATATGTAAAATTGTACACCTGCAAACCTGAAAAACTAAAAGTAATATCCAATTGTTATAGCTTATGAAATGTCTGCTTTACACAACTTGTGATGTCACACTGCATAGTAAGAACATCGTAGATACTTAACTTTATATAAAAGATAAAAGTTTCTCCGGATTTTAAGTGATTTTTATTAAGCTTTCGACTCAATATATGAAATGCCTGGATTAAAAATTTTCAAACTTATACTTAACTTTCTATAATGCTCTTTGTACATTTTTGAAGAAGTTAACACGCTGCAATATAGTTGTGTTTAGTATCGTCTTAAAGATGTTGTTCTGAGGATTACAAATATGTTTCTTATTATCCTGGCTCAAAGTCGTAATGCAATTCTACAGCTTAGAAAATACTTATGACTTTTGCCTTAATTAGTATTCGCGATTCTTAACTGACATGTATATATATATATATATATATATATATATATAGGAAGTTTTGTTTATTTGAATCTCCGTAAGTACAGTGCTCAAAAAGTGTATATACAATGTGCCCTCCCGGCTATCACCATATTAAAATGGTGACTCCTGCACTTGGGACACAGGACGTACGGTATAGGTATATATATATATACCTATAAAAGATAAAAGTTTCTCCGGATTTTAAGTGATTTTTATTGAGCTTTCGACCCGTTGCTTCGAGCCTTCATCAGAATGAGGATATTTATTTACACGTGCTTTTAGCTTGTAGACGTTTAGAGCGTCTAATTGGATGAGTGCGTGGATTAATGTGATTGGACGGGGTGAAATGCGTTGCCATGGGTTTTGGTGTATTGCATTTGTGAATATGATTGGTGTTAATAATATTAGAGTGTAGTGTTTTAGTTTGGTGTTGTTTGTAGTTTTTATGTCCTTTTTCTTTAGTTGTGAGTATATGATGGCTATGTCGATATGTCTGTTTATTGTGTCGTTTTCTTTACTGTACCAAGCTTCTTTAAATTCGCGTGCGTGTTTAGTCTGTGCGCGTCCGAGTACTTTAGTTTCTGTCCAGTCGAATGTGTGGTTGTTTCCGTGGGTATGTTCTGCCGGTAGTGAGTTTGGATCTCGTCGTTTTATGGCGTTTTTGTGTTCTGTGAGTCTTGTTTCAGTTTTCTTAGATGTTTGTCCTATGTATTGCTTTGAACAGTCTTTACATGGTATCATGTAGATCGCGTCAGTTGTATCATGAATTGTTGTTTTGTCTTTATGTTTGGTGAAACATGATTTGAGTTTTTGTGTAGGTTTGTGGGCGACGTTAATATTAAATGGTCGAAGAAGTCTGGCAGTCATTTCTGATGTTCCGTTTATGCATGGTAACGTGACGATTTTTTTACTGTTTCGTCCGGTTTTTTGTTGCTTTTGTCGGTTTGTGTTTTGTTTTGTATTTTGTATATAGTTTTGTTTATGAAGTTTCTAGGGTAATTCTTTTTAATAAATGTGGAGTATAAGTAGTTGCGTTCTGTTTTTTTGGCTTCTTCCGTATTACAATGAGTGTTTATCCTGTTGAAAAGTGTTCGAATGCAGCTTATTTTGTGTTGTGTTGGATGATTGCCTATATATATACCTATATTTGAAGAAGCTGACACGCTGCAATAAGGAAGCTGCAGCCTGCTGTGAGAAATATTTAAAATTCTTTATGTTATCATCCACGTATACATTAAAAGCTCAAAATATTTTTCTGGCGATATATGATCATGATTTCAAGAAATATTCTTTTTATCTAATAAAACGGTAAGATAAAGATTTTACATCCTTAGATGGCGACTGGAATTACTTTTAATTTACGTACCTATCTAAGTAAAACAACGATGGTTTTTCATCTAAACTTCACAAAGACATTAACTAATGTTGATACAGTTGGAATCTAAAACTAGTACGAAAATTGCTTTAACTTTCGTCAACGATAAGGACTTAAACATGCTTATTTCTTCTTGCTCGAAAGTTATTTTGTCATTGTTTGACCTTAAAATTATCGTTGTCGATAACTTTATATCGTTGTCGTTTTTCGGATCAAAAATTGCATCGCGACATGAACTAATGTACGGTGGCCCACAAGGGACATGCAACTTACATAAGGCAGATGACGCCAAATTAAGTCGGTTGCTGCAAGTTAAGTCTGTTGCTGCAAATTAAGACGGTTGCTGCAAATTAAGTCGGTTGCTGCAAGTTAAGTCTGTTGCTGCAAATTAAATCGGTTGCTGCAAGTTAAGTCTGTTGCTGCAAATTAAGTCGGTTGCTGCAAGTTAAGTCTATTGCTGCAAGTTAAGTCTGTTGCTGCAAATTAAGTCGGTTGCTGCAAGTTAAGTCTATTGCTGCAAGTTAAGTCTGTTGCTGCAAGTTAATTCTGTTGCTGCAAATTAATCTGCGGCTGCGATTTGCCATTGTCGTATGCTGCTGAATAAATAATAAAAATGGCTGCTGAAGATAACGAAAACGCTTTACGGACTTTAATAGAAAATTATTTTTATTCAGGATATAAATACAACGAAATAGTCTTACTTCTAGACAACCATCATGCCGTAAAAATGTGTTGTAGAACTTTAAAAAGAAGACTCAGAGAATATGGTTTCAAAAAACGAAAAAATGATGATTGTATTGATGACGATAGGCTAAAAGAAACTATTCGTCAGCTAATAAATGATGATGGAAGCTTGTCAGGATATCGAACAATCTGGCATACCCTGCGTCGTCGATTCCACGTACACGTTTCACGTAAAAAAGTGGCATTAATAATGAAGGAAATAGATGCACAAGGTGTCCAGCAAAGGAAAACTCACTGTCTCCAACGACGAGTATATCGATCATACGGTCCAAACTTTTGCTGGAACATGGACGGTAGGAAAAATTGAAATTTACTAAAGTACAAAAGATGGCTACGTTGATTTATTTGGTTTGCCTGTTTTGATTGGTTATAAAACATAACATAATGTTTTATTTCATATTAATCACACCATTGCTAATTGTTACAGGCTATGACAAATTAAAGCCCTATGGATTCCCTATTCATGGGGCTATAGATGGTTACAGCCGACGGATAATTTGGCTTGAAGTGGTAAAATCCAACAACGACCCAAAAGTGCCTGCAAATCTTTTTCTTAAAAGTGTAAAAGAAAACCTCGGATGTCCACTTCTATTATGGAGTGACTGCGGCACAGAGAATGGATTGGCAGCTTCAATGCAATGTTATTTTAGAGATAATGGGACAGATTACTTGGTAGGAGAGAATGCTCATCGCTATGGTTCTTCTCACGCAAACCAGAGGATAGAAAATTGGTGGTCGTATTTTCGTCGTAGTCGAAGCAACTGGTGGATTAATTTTTTTAAAGGTCTAGTTAACGATGGGGTTGTTCTTCTTGGAAACTTAATTCACATGGAGTGCCTCTGGTTTTGTTTCCAATCTGTGCTACAAAATGAACTCAATGATATAATTGACCGCTGGAACACTCACTATATCCGACGTTCGCGATATGATACTATACCTGGCGTGCCAAATCTTCTTTACTTTTTACCCGAATTAACTGGTGGAGCTGACTACATTGTCCAAATGCCAACAGACAAAATTAACGAAATGGAGGAAGAATGTGAGATGAAAGAAGGACTAAATGACTACAAAGAGTATTTCGAACATGTAATGGAAATAAAAGGACTACGTCTTCCAAATAATGCAATTGAAGCATTAGCACTATTTCAATGCTTAGTAGAAGCTGCTAATGATAAGGATTAAATGTTAACGGGAAAATCGACAAAAAAACACGAGTTTCACGTCATGGACAAACCAGGCACGACGTTTGACTTTTGCTGTAAATGTTGTTTACGTGTACGTACGCTTCTCATAACACACTAAAGTGCAAGCGAATAACCATAACATCAACAAAACGATTTCGCAATGATCAAGTCGATTAAAGTATTAATTTCAATTGTCAGAACTGCTTTTCAGATAAGTCCAAAATCACACGAATCCCCAATGGCAGAAACCATTAATTCTTCCATTTCACATTCCGAAGCTATATGAACAGGTAACTTCACCAGCAAGTCACATGTTGACGTAGATGGTCTACATTTGCAGCAATCTTTGCAACCATGGATGAAAACCTAACGGCGGTATTTCCTTGGAGCCACTGCACCATTGCATGAAATCTGTCATAGTTAAATTTTGCAAACCTGAAATGCATTAACATTATTACCTCAGCGGCAAAAACATAGCTTATAACACACGCTGTAGATGTTGAAATAAAATTGCACCGCACATATAACAGTGCAACTTTATTTGTTAATGAGCTGATTGTTGTGTTGCAGAGTTTTGGTAATGAAAGCGTAGATCGATGCACTCCGAATTTGGTAAATTTTTGTCTTCAAAACATCGAAATGGATCTATAACATCACCATTAAACTTATTTTGTTATCCTTTAAGCTTAGCAACTTCTGCACGGATGAAACATGCTGTAGAATATCTTATTTTTACTCTAGAATACAATTTATATGTGCACTATACATATTGTGTTCCTGCACTGTTTATGTAAGCCTTATTGTATAGAATTAATGTGCTTATATTAGTATCCTTACCATCTTCAAACTTTTGTATTACATCATTGAAGAATTTAAAGGTATCTACTTCCTTCATCTTCAAAGCTTGAGAGCTACTATATTGAGGTTGCAGATGGTCAAGAAACTCATCAGCAGTAAACTTGAAAATATCACTCGGCACAAACACTGCCTTCCATACATGTGGCTGTTTTCTTATCGCGTCAAAAAGATTACAGTTAGGCAAGCCTTCTTGAAGTTGTTGCAGCTGGGCTATGCTGTTAGAGATTTGATCTTTTATACAAATAGATCTAGTGAAAAAGAACAAATCAAAAGCAATTAATGCATTTGAGCAGAGGCAAACAAAAAGGGGTTATTTTCCTCTAAGTGAGCAGCACACACTAAGCTAGCAATCCATTTATGCAAGAGTGGAGAGTAAACAATTTCGCAAAAAAATTCGTCATTTTTAAGTCCTGATGTAGTTATGACTATCATGCTATGATTATGTAGCAGGAGTGTTTGCCAGCAGCCACTCCCAGGGGTGTGTGAGAATGAAGGTTACTTTGATTTTTTACACGATGCCAATTGAAAGTATATTGATACATTAATACTAAGATGAAGTAATTTTAAAAGCAATTTTAGATAAAAAAATATTAGCAGAATAAAAAAATTACACATACTGCACTATGTCTTTGGATGATTTGATGCTTTCTTTTTGAGGCACACCGGTGTATCCAACATTCTGCAAAACATCTAATATCTCATCTGCCAATATGGTTTCATGAAGTACATCATCTGTTATACAGGATGATAACTAAAATACAAAAAAGAGCAATTTCACTTTCTCTAATACAGAACATAAAACTAAACTTTATGCAATAAAAATAAACATAAGAATGAAAAAGATCAATAAGGTTAGGTCATCTTCTAAAATACTTCATACCTTAATAGCTGCTGATTTAAATGCCTCATTTTGACAATTTTCTGCAGATAAATCTTGCTTTGCAATATATTGGAATATACTTTCATTTAAGAAATTTGGAGCTGGACCACCCTGTATGACAGACATAACCATAGCCTCACCAAGTAGTCGGAAGTCATTAGCCATCAGTGCCATTGTGGAATCATTGGGAAATCCACGAGACATTAACTTCCTTTTTCCTGCTTCTAACAATTCTACAAAAGCAACATTAATGAACATAAATAATTTTAAACACCACTGTTTTTACAGTGATTGTGGAGGTTAAATATGAAAAACATAAAGTTTACCTGTGAAGAACTCTCTTTTTGGTCCTCCATCATCAATGGCACATTCGCCAATAAACACAACCTTTAAGTTGTCATCAGGTTTGATCTTTGTAAGACGTGCTTGTTTAAAGTCGATCCATAGAAACTTTCTTCGAACATTTATTCTGACTCTGTCTTGCTTCAAAATATTATTATTCATAAGTTTTATAGACTCTTTCAACACAGATTTTATCTCCTCTGGACTTTTGTGTGCTTGTTTTCTGATAATAATGATAGCTCAAAAACATCTTTTACAGAGCTCTCAATATTGCTAAGTACTGTGTCTTTCTTATGAGAAGTGTCATCAAGTAACCAGCTATTACATATGTCAGCATGTTCAGCAATATCTTTCACTGAAAATGGCAAGAAGCATATTGGACACTGTATAGCTGAACTAGTAGCTGCTGATGCCAATCCATCATCTGCTTCCGCATGCAAGTTTATGTCAGGTTTAGAAAAGTCATCAAATAAAGGAGTAGATGCCAATCCATTGTCTATTTGTGCAGGAAAAGTTAAGCCTTGTCTGGATGATTCATCAAATGTAGGATTATTCATTATTGCAGATGTATTGGTAGAATGATTAAAAGAATCCTTTGATAAAACAAGTTTCTTTATTGTTGTCAAATGATGTATTGATGAAACATGAAGTGCTACTGTTTCCATACCTACAAGCCCCTTCATTCAAAAAAGAATCGTCAGAGTCAGTGTCTGATGTAAAGTCTTCTGCTTTAGGCAAAGAATCAAAAAGAACATCTTTCTTGTCGCCATGAACATTGTTATCCTTGAGTAGGATTTTCCTGAAGCCTTTTTGTACTGACTCAAGACAAATGGATCCGAAGTTCCAGGAATATTAACAACTTCAGAACCATCAGGGTAAAGGAGTGCATACTCACAATCTTTGACAAATGACCGCTCAAAAGCACTATACTTTTCAATTGCTGCATTAAAAATTATTGATGATGAAGCACTGGCTGAGATTTCAAGCGCTAAACGGCCACGAGCTGGCTTGAGTTTCTTTGTCTTTCCATCATATTTCATTAAACCTATTTGTATGACATGTTTCTCATCCACACTCTTCTTTGATTTTGATAAAAACGAAGACTACTCTCGCACTTTCGCTTTTTGTATTCCTAAATGTCAATACCATTTTCTCGCCCGAATTAGCTTTGTTTAAGCCTTGTGGCGGGGTAGACGTAGTAAGGTGTGCACTGAGTCCTCTGACACTGTTACTGGAAATTGAAATCCCATCACTGTTACCACTTTTCTTCACCTTTTGTTGCTCCTTTCCGCAATGGCAGCAAAATTTTGCCTCTTCGGGATTCACGCCTCCACAAATGTGGCAGTACATTAACAAGTATAACAAATAATATTAAAACGCTTTTGGATGTTGATGTTCTTTACTTATTCAATGATTCAACTTTAACATAGTTATGGTAATACTTCATGATATATTTGCTAAAGTACATTTATTTTGCATGAACCGACTTAATTTGCAGCAACAGACTTAACTTGCAGCACCAGACTTAACTTGTAGCAACCAACTTATTTTGCAGCAACAGACTTAACTTGCAGCAACCGACTTAATTTGGCGTCATCTGCCTTATGTAAGTTGCATGTCCCTTGTGGGCCACCGTACTAATGAGTGTTCTTAAACAAAGCCGCTAAGGGCATGCGCGGTCATGATGATGAGTGTGAATTTGAATCTGGTATGATGAATTTCAATTTGGTGAGATGAATTTCAATTTGGTGTGATAAATTTAACTTTGCGTAATGAAATAAAATTTACGTTTCCCTTGTTGGCCACCGTAAGTTCTAGAACTGTCCAGCTATTTAAAAGCTTGCACTAAGCGTATATAAAGTGAATGATAATCCCCTCCTATACGTTTTGATCATTTGATAGCTGCTTTTATTACATTACGAGCAATTAAAATAACAGGAAATAAGCTAGTAAATTACTTTTCTCATTTTTTGTGTGCCAATAATATAGAACTAAAAATTGATTATATAAATAGATAAAAGATTGAAGCATGGCATAAGTTTTTACTCTGTTCACTAAAATAGTAAAACCTCAAACTTTAAAGTAAATTAATTCACAGTGCGGCTGTTGCCTCACCAAAATCTGCATTAGCGTTAGCCGAAGCATTAATTTCTTCTGGATCATCAGCACTGCCTAAGTAAAAAAAGTCATTGCTTTCGGAATTCCATGATTGCAAAAAGTCCCAATTCAATAATTGTGCATAAGAGTACTCACTGTACCCATCATCAGAGTATCCACCAATAGATAACTCATCTTCTAAGGACTCATCACCGGGATTTCACAATAAAACGATTTGTTGTCAGTGGATTTACAATTAGACGATTTGGGATTTGAGTATTCTGTGTGAGCTAAAAGAGTTGCTGTTCATTAAGATGCTCACCTTCATCTTCTTGTAAGAAACCATTTCCCACTTGAGGGCTATTACTCGTAATTATATTCTACATAAAGAATGTTTATTATGATGTTAAAAATAAAAGATTTCTCAATTATAATGCAATCTGTTGAGTTGCAATATTTTTGTAACTGTTACTATTTTAACTGTTTTCATTTCTAAAAATGATATATTAATAAAAATATTTATGTCAAAGTTGAGACGAGAATCCCATAAGTTGTTCATGGAAAATACTGGTATTCTTTCAATGGCTCCTTTATCTTTCTTCCTAAGAAGTTAAAGCGTCTTTAAAATGAAAATCTAGCACCTTATGATAAGATAATTATAATCTCTAACAAATTTTTAGAAATTATTTAAATATAACAATGAATAGTTACTTTGCCATCTTCAATGGTCTGACCTACAATTTTTGAGTCTGACATGCACTGAATGTGATGGGTAATATTTCGTGTCTCTATATTTTACTTTTACATAAAATGGGTGATTTTTGTTTATTTGCAAACAGCAAAACTGCATATATTTTGTATATACATCTGGGGAAAGCAATCAATTCGAACCTCAAAGCAGCCAGTAGATGATTTTAATGTAAAATGAAAAAAAGTGTATGTAGCTAGCTAGATAGCAACATTAAAGTGGTAAATAATTCAATATAATTGTGTAGTGTTATGTTTAGTAAAAAGCAAATTTCAAAAAGTCTATGAAATTTTATAAATACGAAAGACGAATAAAACAAGGAAAAATGAAAAAGTTTTATTTTTCTGTCCAAAGATGACTTTGCAATTAAGTGGAAAATTCACTGATTAATGAATTTCTTAACTTTTTTCTGCTGCAAGGGAAAGAAAGTGTTTTAATGCCTTTCTATATGATTCTTTCGCTACTATTAGTGGTGATGGACGAGAACATTTATATTGGGATGGAAGGAGTAGCATATCTTTAAGTCAACATGTTTCATCAAACGAAGAAAGCAAAATGTAATCAGTGTTTTGTATTCTTGCATATACTACATTCCTAACTTTCATGCTATGATTAAACAGATATTTTTAAGCCAATTTGTCACACACTCACTGTAATTTAACTCGTATAATCTTGCATATGTTATGAATGACCGATTTTTATTTTAATGAAATCCTTTTAGAATTATATAAAATTTTCTGTTTTTCTGTAAGGTTATACAAAGACGATTGAAAATTTGGGAGAAACGGGAACTTGCGTGGCAAGCACACAAACAAAGTGCAAGTGTTTCCAAGTAATTTTGAGTTTCCTAAACTTTCACAAGTGTTTTTATAACTTTATAGAAACAAGTAAAATGTTTTCGATTCCCTTTATAAAGTAGTTTTTTAAACCAATGTTGAAAAGACAAATTTTTGGATTTCAATAATATGTACTGTTTATATATTTGCCTTTTGAATTTGCTGCCCAAACCAAATAACCAGTGATTTTATTGCTGCTTAAATATTTTCACACAAATTTGAATATTGCCAGCAAATGCTGCACTTTCAAAACATGAAGTATAATTTCCTTGAAATATTACGCGTGAAACAATAATCGTAAAACCATATTAAATTCTAACGATTTGATCAATTTTGCATAAACGCTGAAATTCGTTTATCAACTATAGAAATTCAGTAAAAACACATCAAACATTTAAATGCTATGAACTTAATTTACCAAAATACGTAAATTCCAGCATAGAATTGATGATGTAAGTGCTACCATCATTAAGCAATTACGAATGTAATGGAATAAATGTAGAACAAAGAACTTGATGAAGTACTCCAGGACTTTCAAGACATTCATTTTGATGTCTATAAAAAATAATAATTTGTAAAGATTTATATTATATGTTTTTACTACAAAGCAATTTACTTCTCATTTCAAGCATTTTTTGCAAAAATTCAAAGCATTTGTACTTTTAGTCATCTATTACTCTGTCTGGACTTCTTTGATGTGCACGGTATTTATAGCACAAAAAGTACAAAAGTATATCGTATGTGTTTCATTTTAAGCTTGGTTTCCTGTCTTCAAAACCTAGTGTGCTTTTAGCTAAAGGTGCACATTGCCGTTGTTTTTGTTTATGCCACCTATTTCTCCACCTGAAAATTGTTCAGATGGTGTGTTGCCTTTTGTTTGCAATTTATTTTTAAAAATAAGACTGGAAAGCCAATACTGTCTGCATTTAGTATTTTTTCTCATGCAACCATCATCTGATAAAATGCATAAATGTGCATGCACAGACCTCAAAATCAACAAAAATTCTTAAAACACCAAAGGTTGGCAATAATTTAGTAGACACAATTAGTGGCGTCACCAGGGAGGTAATTGTGAGAGGACTAGTCCTTCCAAAGACCACTTTTTATATGTTAGAAATCATGGAAAAAATGAAGGGGAAAGTGCAATGAATCAAACTTCAAATTGCAATAAAAATAGTTGCTTCCTTTAAACGATCACATAACAAAGCCAGTATAATAAACAGCTATCTTCAAGCATAGTTGTCTATAAGATTGCATTGAATACACTTAACACATATGTAACAAAAAGCTGCTCTTTTAAAAGCACATGGCTATAGATCATTTTATACCTTCCCGAAACAATTAGCGTCTTAGAGAAGATACAATAAAATATTTTTTGGACTAGATACATACGAAACTCGACGTAGGCTTACCTTTATAAAAACTTTGAAAAGTGGTTTTACGATTGGTTTTTTAAACTTTTCTTTACCTTAACTTTGACTAAACGTTAAAATGAATATCACTGGAGTTCTATTACGGGGGGGAATGGAAGGTATCACCTCAAGCCTTTTACAAATTTTGCAAAGAAAAATGGCCGTTTTTTCAATCGTAAATTTCAACCCCAAAGCATAGTTTTCTACGATCTACTATAGCACATATTTGTTTAAATAATGTTCAATTTTTAAAATGTGCTGTAAAATAAAAATTCCAGCAAAAATATGACCAACCTTTACATCTATAGTACAGAATAAGGATTGTAATTACGTATTTATTCTGTATCTATAGATGGACGTTGGAAAAGGACCGCGCGATTTTCAACGATTTTTCTACGTTGTAATTATGAGCTGTTCTGAAAAGAACTGGACTTCCATACCACAAGCACATGATGTATCTTTACAAAAATTGGCTTATTTACTCAAACAAAAAATAGCATTTTCAAACGTATAATAATCATATAGTAAGATGAAACTGTATTGGTCGCTCTAGTCTCTTTTCTGATTGAAAACCTTTAAATCAAAACTGTTAAATAAAACTTAGCATCCTTCAAATAAAAAAAGTCAAAATACAGAAAATATACTTACTTAAACTGAGCCTTATACATTTGTGAAATGTCACACAAAGAGAAAAAATGAAAATATAAATATCTTTAATGGAAAGAATACATCAGGAAATTAAAAAATATTTATTTACAAGATACATTTATTTGCAATCTTGCTAAAAAACAGGTTGAAAAGTACAAAATTATTGAAGTGAGCATGCTTCACTTTATGCAGAAAGTAAAAACTCTATGAGGTCGACCTCAACAAGCACAAAACAAGATTAAATGGTAGTTGAAAAATTAATGAAAAACTGTAGTCAATGCTGAACATGTTTTCAAATCGCATACGAACAACAAGGATGGAAAGCAAACAACACAAGAAACATATGAAGCTAGATTGTTTCTACAATGGGGAGGTTAGTCAATCCTCTACAAACAAATCAATTTTAACTCCGGAAAATGTGAAATGTCGTCAAACGATATAATCGGAGCATTTTACTAGTGATTGTTTTAGGAGCTAGTTTCATTTAAATGGTTATGCGTCAGCTTGCGTCAGGCACCGCAATGCATTATTGTTACTTATTAATTTATAAGTCAAAGATTACAATTATTGATTATTGTTCTGTAGATGATGTGGTGGAAGAGTTTATGAAAGATACTGAAGATATGCAAGTAAATACAACAGTTACATAAAGGATGTAGCATCAGCACTGGAATCAGACAGACAGTCCAAGCACAAAATACAACAAAAATGCTGATGAAGATAATTGAGGAGTAGGTCACATATGTTTCACTGAAATACTTGGCTTTGGTAATTTATCCAAACTTGCATTGACTTCAGCACAAACCATGAAAAAAAATGCAACATACACCACAGTTTAAGCAGATATAAAGTTATGATGTACATCCTGAATGTCCAAGCAAAGAATACAACAAAAATGCTGATAAAGACATTGTAAGCGTTGAAGAGTAGGTCCCATTATATATTTTCACTAGATAAGACGTACATTTTAGTATTTTCACCCAAACTTGCATTCTCTTGACAACAGGCCAAGACACAAGTGCGAAATATAAAGCAAAGAAAATTATCGTTCTATAGCAACTCCTTCTTTTTCAGCAACATCATTTATATTTTGCGCCAGTTCTTAAGGTGAAAACAAGCCATTCAGTAACCATGATAACAAATGATTTTGCTACAACTGTGATGAACATCACATTCGGAAAAGATAACCTTATCTTAGTTATATCCATTAATCTTCTTTTGAGCTTTACCATCATTTTTCTGGGCACATCAGTGGTTTTTCAGGTTTATCAACGCATGAGTCTCTAGGATACAGCAAATCAACTTATAATCATAAACATAATTTTCTTTTCCCTGTATTGCAAGTCTTGTCAACAAAAATTCTAGACAATAGAAACAATAAAAGTATTGTAGGAGTTTGTGATAGTAGGGATGACAGTATTAGTCATTATTTCATTTGTTGTGATTCACATGAGAAGTAGATGATAAAAATCAAAGATTAACCTTTATGTTTTTAATTGTATGTTTATGCAAACTTTAGATGTTAAGCAGAACAGTACAGAAATGGGAGACCTTGGCCACTATGAAGCAATTGTTTGGTTTTGTACCATTGGTATGATAACAACATTTATTTCTGATAGCCATGCAACTATCACTAAGTATACAAGAGAAACATTTATTTGAATATACAATGGCATATAAAAAAACAGCCATTCCAACTTTCTTTGATTTATGACATAATTGGGAAATGTAAAGTTTATTTAATTACCTTGTACAGGAAGGAATTACATGCTGTCACTAAATGGAGGAAAGCTATTGGATGTTATTTTTATTGGACTGCTACATGAAGATTATCTGATGCTAATATAATATTGGTAAAAATCTCAAGGCATGGATTTGGCTCACTAGGGGTAATATGCAGTTTACATTTATACAACTTTATGAGGTAGCTGCAATGAAGTTTTTTTTTCTTTAAGTTAGGTTGTATTGCATATAAAAAGCTAAAAGAAGCACAAGAGGACACAAACAATTGGTTAAACAAGTATCTTCTACAACACAAAAAAGGCGTTCAGAAAGATACCTTTCAGTTTTTAATATTTTTCTCCAAAGATGATTCATTATTCTTATCAGCTGGAATGCTTTGCAGGTGTAGCCTAACAAAATATCAATAACATATCTATTGAAATATTTGATAATGCTTTGCATGTGTCATCCAATACATCCTGACTGCCTAACATTTCAGTGGTAGAAAGAAAATGTAAAACCGAGGATGTTAAGAGCCTACAGTAAATTACCAAATACGAAACTACTATCAATAATCAGAAATAATGGAGCTTCCCTATATTATATAAACAATGAGGCCTCCTGTCATCACACATAAATAATACATAATAACATTGCTTACTTTGCTCTGGGCTTTCAGTATCAAGAACTCATTTGTTCAAAGAAACTTTGTGAAAGCCATAATAGTCTATAATATATACGGTATTCATCCATCTTCTTACTGGACTCACTCCCACTTGAACGAAGTATGCAGTTGAGTTTCATATTGATGCAAGTAATGGATATTATTACAAATATGGATAAATACTTTCACTAAGACCATTTCAGAACAGAACGAAAGCAACAATCTAATTGACTCTCTAAAGCGTTTACAAGTTCTTTTTCCTGAGCAACAATGTCTTCCTACACAACAATTCTTCGACTGATGCCACTTGCTAGCAATAAAGCCACTTGCTTTTAGTTGCAACGGTAAACAACAGCCTCGAGGCCCTCGACAATGTCGTCGCATGGCAGAAATTCTGCTTGTGAATCGCCAGTATGAGGACAAATGTACAGAATGATAATTCTCGTAAAAGGACCAGGAAGTGCTGCCGTATTCTAAATTACATCTGTATTATTTTCGATGTACACTGCACACAGCAAGCGATACAGCAATTGTCTGAAACTGTCATTATCATCGAGTTACTTTATGAATATTACATGATGGAGGCTATGACGTCACAGACTTATTCAGCCTTCACTTAGGGGCCGATTACATGGACCGAGTTGTCCCGGCAAGGTGAGTTGTCTCGGGTATCCGGGTTAGCTTTTTTCAAGCGATTACATGGACCGAGCAGTGAACTCCATATATATATATATATGGAATGATAACGACAATACATTTTATAGATAAAAAGTTGAAGCCAAAGTCCTAGTCTCTTGCGCGGTTTGTACGTCAGTTCCAGTCCTTCAAAGTCGAATATTCACGCGGTTTGTACGTCAGTTTCATTCCCCTGAGTGCCAAACATACACGGCCAATATAAATTTGAATACAAATTGCAAAAGCATAAACATATAAACAACATCACGACAAACAACACATGAGGCCAACTCTTCGCAAAAGGTTATTTTTTACAGCTAAAACTTTACTACAGTGAGTTCGTTGTAACTTACAACTTGTAACGAGGAAAAGCCAACTGAAAATTACACTTTATGCTAAAAGGCAATACAATAAGAAAATATGACGAGAAAATATTCAAGCATGAATTTTTCTTTCGTCGGAAGGTAAATTTTCAAACGGTGTCAGACAGTGTTTGTCTTTTTTGTCGTTTCAATGGATTTAAAGATCTGTTTTTCCGAAGAAAAAAGAAACTTGAATATCAAGGTTCATAAAAAATGTTGAGTCTATAACTCGCATTTTACTTTTTACAGAGCGATTGTATCTTTCATCGATTTTGATAGTGCTTGAAATACTAAATGGTTGTCATCTCGATATCAGTAATTGAATATCCTTAAAGACTTTGATATGTTTTAAAGGAAAACCGCAGCGTAAAAGCAGATCGACTAAGTTCACCTCACCCTGCTTCTCGATTTATCACTTTGATTCACTTTCCGTGAACCTTTTCATTCCAAAAATTTCGTTATTTTTACGCTCTGATCAAGATCCGAACTCTACCATTACCAAGGGACAAATGATTTAAAAAAATTAAAATGAACACGCGAGAGACTGTGATGACGAATGATGACGACAAATATTTTTTTGGCTTCAATTTTTGGCTTCGGTTATCATTCCAGTTATTCAAATGTCGAGTTCACTGGGACCGAGTTGTCCCGGCAGGGTTAGTTCTCTAGGGTACTCGGGCTCCTGGCTCCGGGAGAGACTTCGAATTTTTTGCGGGAAAATATGGCGAACATTTTGTAAACAATGAATTTTTCGCATCCACTCCATTCTTGTTTCCTGTCTACTTTTTCAATTTTATTGTTTCATTTACTTATGGGCAACATACAAGCAATACGTTCACAGAGTTTTTTATAGTTACTATGCCACAAAAAAATCAGTAGCTGAGAAAAAAGCACGATACATAAGAGCTAGAAAACTTAGTCGGAAAAAGCGAGCTATATGGACCAAAAAAGGAAGAACTGACTTTTTGTGGAAGAATATGTTTGATGGAGTTACCCCAGATAATGAGTGGAAGCGAAACTTTAGAATGTCGAAAGAGCGATTTTTTCAATTGTGCGAGGAGTTGCGACCTTACATTTCTGAAGGAATAAACACTCCAAATTATAGGTCACTCTCTCGTGAAAAAAAACTCGCTATCACTTTATATTACCTAAAAGACACTGGTTCTATTTGGATGACGGCGAATGCCTTTGGTGTTCATCAATGTACAGTTTCTAAAATCGTTTTAGCTGTTTGCAATGCAATTTGTATACATCTTTGTCCAATATATCTGCACCTTCCACAAACGGTAGTGGAAATGAGGAAAAAAGTTGCTGAGTTTGAAACAAGGTTTGGCATGACTCAGGCATTTGGCTGCATTGATGGTACACACATTCCCATTCAAAGACCGTTGGTTGATTCTCAAGATTACTTCAATTATAAACAGTTTTTCTCCATTAATGTTCAAGCTGTTTGTGATTCAAATGGCTTATTCATGGATGTTGACTGCAGGTGGCCTGGCAGCGTCCATGATGCAAAAGTATTTTCAAACTCATTCATAAATAATGAACTAAAATTGGGAAGATTACCACAAACCTTCACTCATGTTTTACCTGGTCATGACAAGATACCTAACTACCTCATAGGTGACCCAGCATATCCTTTAACACCCAACTGCATTAAAGAATACCAATCATGCTTAAGCATTTGATGAGGTAGTTTTTAACAACATGCTAAGAGCCGCAAGAAACCCAGTAGAATGTGCATTTGGCCGCCTAAAGGCTAGATGGTCAATTTTGACAAGAAAAATGAACCTTAAACTGGATGCAGTACCAAAAGTTATTTTAGCTTGTTTTGTTCTCCATAATTTTTGTGAGATGCATAATAGAGACATGGATGAGGAGATTGTCCAAAATCAAATAGCTAGGAACAGAGATGAAGAAATAGCCCACAAAAACAGCCCAGATCCAGTGTACTCAAGTACCACCAGGGAAGGAGAACTAGTCAGAGACAAACTAAAACAATATGTTAATGCACATTTGCTTTACTAGTCTTTTTAATATTCTCAAAGCAACAGTTTTTTTCTTCAAATACATGTTTATTTTATAAACAAAGAACATTTGTTCCACTCTAACAAAAACAATGTAACATAAAGAATTACTCAGTAAGAATTCAACATAAAAAATAAAACAAGTATGATGTTTTTAACCAATAAAATGTTAAAAGTCAATATTGATGTTGATGTGGTTGCAAGGGTACTCCATTGCTTTCTACACGGGGAATATAGAAAGACTGGCCAGACATATCAGGTGGAAATATGTAATTAGAGGTATTAATACCTTGGTGAAACTGCGGCATAAGATTTGTGGACTGCATTCGATCTGATGGGTATGGTGGCCTGATGTGCTGTGACGATTCACGTGATTTTTGAATTGAAGAAGCAATAGCAGTCATTGAAGCACTAATTGCCTTCAAAGACTCTGCAAATAATAAATTGGATTCTTTCAGGGAATTTGATATCTCTTTACAAAATTCTTGTTCATCTTTTGATTCTTGCATCAAGATTTTGTCGCGTTGGGAAGCTGATAACTGACGTTCCATGTGCCTACGTTTGTTATCAATCAATGTGGGTACCACATTCATTTTCCGCTTGCCTCTCATTGCTTCATGCTTTTCTTTCTCACTAAAAGTATTCTCGCATTCTGCTATGGACTCATGATGAGAACTATCAGATATGCGAGAAGATTCTTCAATTTCATCAGACAAAGTTGTATTAAAGTCATTAATTTCCCAGCCTTCCTCATCTTCTTTTTCTGCTGATTGCACACCAAATTGCAATGGTTCTGTTGCAGGTGATCCTCCCCATATTTTGACCATAACATCATAAAACTCCATAACCATTTTTCCTGAGCCTGATCTTGTACCTGAGGTAACAGCATTACTAAATTTCTGTCGCAGATGTTTTATTTTTTCTTGAACTCGAGTATATCCTCGTCGAATTTGGGCTTTGAATTTTTCACACGACCTTGTATAATCCTCCTCATTGTCTTCTTCAGTATATGCAGGAATCTCTGTCGGCCCAAACAATGAACCGTCACGATATTTGTTGGCCAAAATAATTCTAACTGATTCATATTGTTTAACTTTGTCCGCATTGAAATCTGAGTTTCTATACTCCATTTGAGATTTGTACTCGAGCAACCCTTCCAGTAAATCCTTAACCATTTCTAAAGTCCACTGAAAGCGATTATCTATGTCGATCGTGGCAGATCTTTTAGATTTTTTACTTTTCTTTGCATTATCGTTTATTGAGCTTTCCGCCATTTTGCTAATTTAAACTAAGTGCGCATGCTTCACACAATAGCTTTCAACTCGCTTACCCGGGGCAACTCGGGAAAAAGTGATTACATGAGCGAACGAGACAATTTTCATCCTGGATAACCGAGTTGTCCCGGCTTTCAACGACCGATATCCCAGCAAAGCGAGTTGACTCGTTTCCCATGTAATCACAATGCTGTTTTTAATAGTAACTATAAAAGAGGCCGCGGTATCGGTAAAATTGTCTCACCTCGGCTAACCGGGACAACTCGGTCCATGTAATCAGCCCCTTAAGCTTCTTTCTCAAAGACATAAGTACGAACTACATCCAGGGGCGAAACTAGCACCTTTTTAATGGGGGGGAGGGGCTCGGGATGAAATTGCCCTGGAAGGACATAAGATGCCCTGCAGATCATATGGAACAGTACTTACACTATATATATTTGTAATACATGTTGTATTCTTGTGGCAGAACGCACTTTAGCGTACTATTAAATCTTTAATGGCAGTTTCGCATCTTTGCAGTTGCTCAATTTTTTAAAATAATATTTAAGTCAACATTGTCCGTAAGATCTTTTTCACATGCAAGAACGATTAAGTCATTTAATCGCGTATCTTTCATTGTGGATCTCAGGCAGTTTTTGACAAACTTAAGCTTGCTGAAACACCTTTCATCTTTTGCCACGGACACTGGAGCGGTCAGCAATAGTTGATACGCCTTGCACACCGTTGGAAAGACGTTTTTGTGTTTGAAAGCAAATAACGCAACGTCTTGAAGGGATTTACGTTCTGATTTAAGTTGTGATGACACAATAATATTGAAAATTTCCAACTCAGACAGCAGTATTTCTGCATCAAAATCTTTTAACGCCGGTGGAAAAAGACTACACATTTCATTAACTGTTTCAGCCATCGGCCTTTCTAGCGGCAGCTGTAAGCTCTCTCCAAGAGGTTTTATTTTGTCGATGCAATCTTTAATGTTATCGGTATACTCGGTAATAAGTGAGTCTAGAACCAAGTACATTTCCTTTCGGTAGAAATCTTTAAATGATGTTTCTGTTGTTATTTCGGAATGCTCGCCAATTCGTTTGGGTGGCTTTAATACCGATTACAATAAATACCAATCACATTTACACATTTGTTAGTTTCGGTTTTTTTGTTTAAATAATTGCTATTACTTACCATTCATCCTTGACTTTTCTTTTTCCTAAAATAAACTATACA